CCTTTCTTGCTTCCGCCGCCCGGCTCGACCAGTTACCCGAGCAAAATGTTGTGACAGGCTGGCGCCGATGGTATTCATTTTCCAAGGAAAACTCAGTGTCCTCTGATCCTCGGTCCACCGTGTTACACCGGGGACATTGGACAATTGACGCAGCCCTCGAAGTGAACGGATCTCTAATTCAAAGTTTCCATAAGAAAATTCTCTTCAAGTTTGCGATGATGGAAGAGAGAGAGAGAGAGAGAGACAGAGAGATATGTTGAAAGTTATCGGTATAGATTAAGTTATTCGGCGATGTTTCGCCGACGAAAGTAACAACCCATTGTTTTCAACGACCAAGAAGAGATGATTAAACCAAAGAGACCTCGTGGCAGAGACTTCGATCAATGGTGGACGTGTACGTGTTACTGCATGGTTTCGAGACAACCAACTACCTCATCTACACACACACACAAAGCAACCAAATCGAGGGAGATTATTCCTGTTTTACCGTAAGATTTAATCTCAGGTCTAATTATTCATTCAGCAGACGAGATGTTTTTTCCCCCCTCCCCTGCAGAGACAGATGGATTTCTTTTTTTTTTCCTTCGTCGAGTATATGTATGTAACTGTACCTCGTTTCGAAACTGTCTATATACGATCGAGACACATTTTTCTGAATTCGATCGATACGCCCGGTAACCGATGTTCGAAGCGGCAAAGAAAACGTCAGACAGGTGTGGAAAAACATCGGTAAATATCGATGCCGGGATGCATCGATTGAAACGGTTAAACGCGTATTTCCACGACATACACGATAGTGATATTCTTAATTTCGAGGATGAACGCGACGGCGAGGTGCAAAAACGCCGGGCAAACACCACGAATAATCGAATTAGACGACTCGCCGCGGACAATTCCAACCAGGACAATGATATTTTAACCGAACGAGCAGTTGCTAGCTGCAAAATACAGAGCGTGAATATACATATATCTATATATATGTATATACACACATATATATATAACAGGTGAATGCAAATAATCGGTCCGTATCGAGCGAAATAAACCGCGTTGGGAGATAAATCAACAGACATAGAGAGAGAGAGAGAGTGAGAATGAGAGAAAGAGAGGGAGAGAGAGAGAGAGAGAGGAAACAAGGATGTGGAAGCGTATATTGGAAACGGGTACCCCCATGATTAATCGTCGCATGAAAGCTCAATCGATGGTATCCTGCGAGAGATGATTACTTATTTATGTAAATACTTGTAAATATTTGTACCTGTGACAGAGCGTGATCTCGTTAGAACGCTACCGTGAATCATCGATGGAAATAATGATTGAAAAATGGAGTGGGTAAGAATGGTAACCGGTTGTTTCGTTTGGAAAAAAGAAAAGGAAAAATAAAGCAAGTGGAGAAAAAGTACGGGGACAAGAAAATTGTTTCTCTTTCTCGTGTTCGCCAAGCTCGCGTAGGAGCTTTTTCCCCTGGTAAATAGAAGCAAGAACGTCGAGACACGTCGACCATCATCGCATTATCTAATCTATCTCCTTAGGCGAAAATGTATAAATCGGTGTGATAGTAGCTTTTAAGTGACGCGTAGTGACACAAGCGAAAAATAAGAAAAAAAAAAATAAATACAGACAAGCGTTAGCCGTTAATTACCAACTACCTGTTGTCGAATCTTTTGCGCCTAGGTACATATGTCCCACGATCGATCGTCGGCTATTCTTTTAAATAACGAGCTTCGCAATAGAATGGGAGAAATAAAGAAAAAAAAAGAAAAAATAGCGAAAACAGTTCGCTCGCTGTTCTACGTTTCTCGCGCGCGTGTATCTGATTGTTTTTTTTATTTTGTCTCTTCTTATGCATTTTTATTTACGTCTCGCGATTTCGAAAATTGATACATTATTTTTCTCTGTATTTTTCATCTTTCTTTTTTTCAGTTGAACCTTTGATCTTTTCTACTTTTTCGTGTTTTTTCTTGCTTCGTTTCTTTTCTATCCGGTTGTAGCAATATTCGAACGTGATTCCTCCAATGGAGAACTTAATCAACTCGTATTTCACGTTTCTACCGCACCGACTAGGTAAGCCGCCATTAAACGACGAATTAATTAAGCATGATTAAACAGGCGAAATTAAAGAAACGTTATATATGTAGATAATCGGTAGAGTAGATGAAAATGCATATGTATGTGTCCCCTATTGTAAATAATGAATCGATCCAATGCAATAAAATCATCGATACCAATGAACCGTCATATTTCACTTTTTATCGAACCCTCTTACACTTCGATTCCAATTTCACTGCGTTTCTTGACAAATACAAACTACCGTCGAATACCTATCGATCGAGGATAGTGCAGCAAAAATTTGCAACGCTATTCGTGAAAGCTAAGACCATCGATTGGTGGAGAACAGAGAAAAGCAGTCTTAACCCCGGTTTAATGTACGTAACGAGGGTAGAGAGAAGCGCTCCTAATCTCTCTTCATCTCACCTAATCTGCCCAGCTAGCGTAGAAAAAACCGACCCTTAAGCACATCGTCTACTTCGATCCGATCTCTCGTCACCTCTTCGAGAGAAAGATGGAAAAAGAAGAGGGAAAAGTGTCGCATCATCTGCCATTAAACACGATGCAATCTGTCGCGTTTAGAAAGAGGCGAGACCTAGCAGAGGAGGCGAGTATCAATGCATGGTTAGAGAGAAAGGGGGCAAAAGTTAGTCAAAGGTGGAAAAAGAGACACGGATCGATGTATAGAGGGTGGTCGAAACATTCGAGGGGTTAGAGGATACGGTATCAGAATGACAGAGGGAGAGAGAGAGAGAGGGAGGTAGGTAGAGGACGACGTGCTTCTGTTCTGATTTACACGAGAGATATCGCGCCGGCCTTCTGATGTATCTGCAGAATCTGTCCTCTATCCATTAAATCGGGGCTCAACCAACCACCATCCCAGTCAGAGTCCCTTATCAAACGCCCACCCGGTCGTTACGGTGTCGCCTTTATGGTGCAACTCTCGTTCTACGTACGTGTCAACAAGGAATTTCGTATTTCCGGGTTCACTGCTGAAATTATACTCCAGTGAAGGACGTAGACTGATGAATATTCTTAATGAAATTTTTCGTTCTACAATATTATTGGATAAATTTGTTGAATTTCTTTGTACCTCTATCGACGAGGAATTCGTTTTTCCTTTTCTATTTTTTAACGGGAGACTTAAATAAGAGGAAATTTTGTGATGATAGAAAAACGGTTTACAATTTTAACTCTGGAGTTTCTTAAAGATGGTAGGAAATCCATCGTTGCCATTCAAGGAAGGTGTAAAAGAGTCTGGTCGATCAGCGGGGGTTGTATACAAACAAGTATTTAGCGACGTTTAATGGGAATTATCCGTGGTGGAGGTGGGACAATTAGGGGAGGATTATTAACACCTGGAGTCGGTATCACGCTGTTTTCTAAGTCGTTGCTGTCGAGAGTTACGGGAAAACTGTTTCCTCGATCGTCAGTGACCACAAAGTAACCGCCCCTTCCTTGTTATGACTGACTCGTTCTACCGCGATTCCTGTTTGTCCGAGAGAAGAAAACGTTTCGCCCAATCCACGAAGCCGTGAAATCGCTTGGGAACTCGGTACCTGCGCCTCTTGTGTCGGATTAATCGACATTCATGGGAAATTTCGCGTTTCCTGCTTCCGTCAATGTGCAGTTCTCCATAAATCTCAAAAGAATTATGAAATAGATAAATGGACATTAACGAGCAACGACGTTCACTTACACTTTGGACCATTTAAATTTCAATTAACTCAATGGAAATTTTTCATTTTTGAGATATTGACTCCCAAATGAAAATCGAGGAAATATTGCTCCAGTTTCAAAAGGTTTCAAAGTCCAAGAATATTGACTTCCGTTACTTATCGTTATCAGTGGATTATCAGCGATCCAGTTCACAGTGAACAAAGAAAACTCAACGCCACTTCGAATTTTTAATTCGAGTATCTCCAACGGATCCAAGTGTACGTATCAACGCATTATAAGAAAAAAAAAAAAACGTTAATGGCGTCGGTATGCGAACGCACGGAAGGCAAGCAAATATTTCCTAGGAGCATATTTAACGTCGCAGCAGGACGTTATACGAAAATCCCTCGACGAACGATTTCAACGTACGAGGTACACACGAAACGTGTCTCATCCCCCCGTGAGCGAGTGTCCTGTGTTTTGGGACACACGATCTACCCCCGCCGAATTTCCCCCATTAATATCCCCCGTAATTGGTTAAAACCCGTAACTGATGAGCGAACTGTAAGTTATTATGCAAAGAGACCCTTGGTTCTCGCGACGCGATAGGGGTTTATGGGATACGGTTCAACACCTCTTCATTACCCTCTTCATCCCTTCGATAGATCGTCGGACGTGTATCGGTGTGCACAGTAGCATTACACCATCCCCGTATATATCCATTGTCATTGTGTCACGGATCGCCGATGCACGCCTGGCTCGTTACCCGGGGTTCATGAAAGAATTCAGTCGACTGAATTTACACGCTTCGAAAATACCGCATCGAGCAGCAGAATTTTGCGTTCGTCGTGCCACCATGCTGAAAAGAGACGAAGGAAAAGGGAAGAAAAAGAGTAGGATTTCTCGAGGGAAACGTTTTACGAATTCGCATCAAACATCCGCCAATTTAAACAACGTTTCAGCTGAAAATCCCACTGTGCAAAATTTCCACCGTGTGAAATATAGGAAAGAGAAAGAGAGAAAGAAGAAGTGGTGGAAAGTTAAAAATATGGTTCAACCCTGAAAGAGTCGATTGCACCGCATACCCCTCTCTCCTCTATGGTCACATTCTGATCGTTGAACATTCGAGCCCCCCGTAGCTACACGCCCCATCTAATTACGCGGTATCAGGTGTCACCGACGTAGAATCGCAGGCTTCTCCC